AAAATCCGATTTCTCAAACCGTTACCCTACTTTTCCCAGTGGAATGATTTTTGTCAAGTTCTTGGGAGCACAAAAGATTCATATTACAAATTAATAGTAATAATATGTAAACTCAAAGAACCCAGGCATCAAGCTTAGCTAATAAAATTGACGCCTGAGAATAAACATCCTTAGGGAAATAGTGGTGTGAGGAAATAGTTAAGGACTACATATATATTTCATTTTTATTTTATGTACATTGATGTTCTGCCTGCATGTACGTCTGTGTGAGGGTGTCAGGTCCCCTGGAACTGGAATCACAGACAGTTGTGAGCTGCCATGTGGGTGCTGGTAATTGAACCCAGGTCCTCTGGAAGAATAGTCAGTGCTCTTAACTGCTGAACCATCTCTCCAGCCCTGACAAATATACCTTTCATCCTTTGAACTTCTGCCTAAGGTTCAGATTCCTGTGAAAAACAATGGACAGATCTGCCTTGTGTAATGCTCCTGATGGACCTCATGGTGGTGGTGGTTGGTAACAAAAGTCTTGTGCTGGAAGGACCTGTCCATGGCACTGTAGCCAACAAGAACACACAGAATGAGAAGTGGCAGTCCTTCACATCCCGACCCCTAGCCCTGATCCTAAGTTCATAGATGTGGTTAACAGGCCTGAGATGCTAGCTAGATTCCCTTGCTTGATGTTTGTGTTCTTATTTTTTTGAGTTGTAAGATCTTAAGTTTAATGCAATGCCTTCCTGATCACTTCATTTTGGTTAATGCTTCCTCCTACCCCTCAATAAACCCATATGGAGACAAAAGAATATGAGACTTCTATTAATATTAAGATAGGATGGGTTCAACACCTAAAGCTGGGCCTCTGGGAACGAAGCGGTTATTCCTATTGACATGTAAATGGATCCAAAAATGCTTAGAAATTTTGTATGATACCAGTGATCAAATGTCAAAAATTCACCTCAGTAGCATCTGCTTCTTTCTGTAACTTTGATGGATAAACCAATTTCCATCTTAAGCTCTAAGACTAAGGACATAGAATAGTTAATGCAGAAACTGACTTGTGACTTCGGCTCACAATCTTCCCATCTTTCCTACAGAGTTTGGAGAACTGAGCAGAAGAAATGGCGATGCCTAAGAGGCTTGACGAGACCTCTTAGGTCAGTGCTTCTTAAAATGTGGCCCCCAGGACCCTGGCGTCAGCATCATCTGGACATCAACCTCACCTGGACACTGACTGCACTGCTTTTTTCTTTTTCCCTCAACTTCAGCTCTTCTATATCCGAGATTCCAGGTAAGGGCACATCTCTATTTATAAAGTCTACCAGCAGACCAGAGAAAGCATGATAGCAGCTCAGGGAAGGAGTCTGAAGTGCTCACACTAGTACAGATTTTATCCTCACTCTGCCTTCTGTAGCAAAAGAAAGTTCGCCAATTTTGCAAGGGAGAACCAATAATTCCCCCTCTCAAGAAACAAGCCCCAGTGTTGCTATGGCAACAACTTGGTTAGGTAGGGTATCGAAGAGTTAGTAACTCAAAGAAGATGTAGGAACTTGCTAATTTATATTCTTACGAAATATCCTGGAGCTAGAAAGATGGCTCACTGGTTAACCACATTTGCTTCCAGAGGACCTGAGTTCAGTTCTCAGCACCCACATTGTATGACTCACGACCACTGGTAACTCCAACTCCAGCAGATCCAATGCCCCCCTTTCTAGCCTCTGCAGGCACCTGAACATATGTGGCATGCATACAAACACAGACATATAAATAAAAATTTTAAATGATTTTTAAATGACCCCCGTGATGCTAGCAGTATGGTTCTATATGAAAAGATGCTTCCTGGGCAAAGCCTGGCAAGTTCAACCCTGGGGACTCATGCCCATAGCAGAAGGAGAAAAATTCCAAAAACTGTCCTCTGACTTCCACACACCAGCTGTGGCACACAATTGCCTATATTCATACACATATCACATATACAAGCACAAGTGCCCACGCTCATTCACACATCACACATATGAGCGCTCTCTCTCTCTAAATGATTTTTAAGCAAATTATTCAGAACATTTGAAACAATGTCCCCCGTGACTTAAGCCCCACCCCCATGAGAGGGAGTAGAGAGGTCCAGATGGGCCATGGAGTTGTCTGTCTTGATGTCACTGCTTTAGGAGGTCACACTCACTAGATAACCACTAACTTCCTTCTGATTTGTGGGAGACTTTCCTGCAGACCCATATGGGCACAGTGGCCACATTTGAAGGCGGTTTAACCTTTCCGGGGTACAGTGACGCTCGCCATCCTTTGAAAAGCTAGTGCAGAGAGCCAGAACCCAGAGTCCTTGTCAGCCACAAACAGAAGCTGCAACCAGAAAACAGACACCTGAGTGGCAAGCAACATCCACATGTGGCCACAGTCTGCCGTATTCTCTGCCAGCCTACCTATGAAGCCTTCCCCACGCACTGTGTTAGAGCATAAACTCCAGTAAAAACTGGTTTGGTATTACCTGCATCTTCGTGATTTCCCGCAAGAACCCTAACTCTTGGACAAAGGAAATAGCTCAGCTGGTGGAATGTCTTGGTATCAGTACCCGGCACCACACAGACTGGATGGTGGCACACGCCAGTGAGTTTGAGGTCAGCCTGGCATCCGTGAGACCCTGTCTCAAAACAAAGCAGCCCTATACCTTAACCTAGGATGACTGATAACACTGACCCATTTAATCTACATATATTTATACTTAAAGTGGACGTTCCTTTTTTTGAGAAAGAGTCGCACTATGCAGCCCTGACTATCCTGGAACTCACTATGACAATGCTTCTCAACAGGTGAATCGCGACCCCTTTGAGGGTGTCAAGTGACCCTTTCACAGAAAACACCGAGATTTACAATTCACAACAGCAGTAAAATTGCAGTTATGAAGTAACAATGAAAATAACTTTATGGTTTGGGGGTCACTACAACATGAGGAACTATATTAAAGGGTCACAGCGAAGGAAGGTTGGGAACCTCTGCTCTAAAGTTTACTCAAGTGCTGAGTTCAAAACTCCAGTCATTTTAAATACTTCTTACTCACCAGCTAATGCTGAGAAAAAAAACCTATTATACTTGAATAGTCTATGCTTGCTCTGTTATTTCAGAACACTCAATTCCTAAGAAAGATAAGCAAAACCAATACTGTAAAATGGATGTAGACTAGGCTGACCTTGAACTCACAGAGATCCTCCTTCCTGCCTCTACATCCTGGGTGCTGGGATTAAAAGTATGCACCACCATGCCTAGCTAAAGTAGAGTTATTATAGATAACATATAATGGATATTTCTTTTATATAACAGCTATCCACTTTGAAATTCTCCTTTAATTTGTTTATTTGGACAGTTAATTTTAAAATAATTTTGACAGAAGTCCTGGCATTGTGTGACAAAACTTTCCCTGAGGAGATGCAACACATGTCTACTCGCCCCAGATCAGAATCCCACAACAGACAAATGTATAGATAACCACAAAAATCCAACTTGGTGAACCAATGAGTTTTACTGAGGTCACTTCCAGGAGCAGAAATGGCTGAGACAGCTGCACCACCAAGGCCCACCCCAGCATGGGTGACAGCTTGCAAAACTGGGACCCTGGAGCACACTGCACAGCCTGCAGGCAGCTCATGAGGTTAGAGACCGTCCTTCCCAAGCGACTGTTCTCAACCTCTTCCGGGAAGCTCGGCTGGTTTCTGCTTCTCCCAGGCAGCTGGTCTGGTCTCAGAGCCTTCTTTGCAGCTCAGCTTCACTGAGTCTGAGAGGGACTCTCAGCTTTGATCGCGAACTCTGGCAGGGAGGAGCCTAATGGGTCTCGTCCGTTTCGGGAACTTCCTCCGGCTATCTTGAGTTGTTTAACTTCCTGCTTACAGAGTTTCCCTGCAGGATGGAATATTTCATTCTCAGGGGAAACCGTTACACAACATGTACTTACCTTCTTGTTGCCGTGATAATTGCCTTGACCAACACCAATTTGGGAAGGAAAGGGCTTACTTAGTTCAAACACAGTCGTGGTCAAGGGAAACCAGGGTAGGAGCTTAAGGACGGAGCGGGGGCAGACCCAGAAGCGGAAGCAGAGACCACGCTGGAGCTCAGCTTACTGACTTGCTCGCTCAGTTTCCTTTTTCATTCTGGCAACTCAGTCTCATCTGCCTAAGAGTGGAACCACCCTCAGTATCCAACAGGAATACAGAAAATGCCCCCAAACATGCCTTCAGGCCAATCTGATGGAGGCAATTTTTAAACTGAGGTTCTGTCTTCCCAGGTGACGATAGTTAATGTCAAGTTGATAAAAACTAACCAGCACATTATTTTGTACTAATATCTTCCACACTTGTAATTTTGCTTCAGATTCCTCAAATTGGATTAGTTTTATGTCAATTAACTGAAAGTCCACGTGTAGGATAGATTTAAGAAATAATACGATCTTCCATCCCGTGTGTTAAAAGCCCAGTCCCTGCCGTCACTCTGCTCTGTAATCTCGCTAGTTACAGAATCCAGCGTTCATCACGAGTGAATAGCGCTATGCGCGCATATGGACATCCCTCCTCTCCCCTTTGCAGGATCACGGTTCGACTTCGGGTTTAAGGAGCAGTCACACTTCCCTTGGCTCTAGAGCACATCCTTCATTAGACTCTTGAAGGTCTGTCTCTTTCATCGGCCTATATTTGCAGTTAAAATGCATCTCTTCTAGGAAGGAAATTCACAGGGGCCCTTCAGAGGAAGCGGCGAGCTGAGAGAGAGAATTAACCGTGAGGCAGAAGTGAATCTGGATTCTTTTTGAAAAGTCTTCCCGGGGCTAGCACCCAGAGCCAGCAACGGAGCTCAGCGTCGCGTCACGTGTCTGCAGCAGCTGCAGGATTGGAGGAGCACATTTTAGCGCTGCGGTCTAGGCACGGACGGTCCCGCCCAGCTGCCAGAGGAGCGGGGTAGCGGAGAGAAGAAGCCACCAGAAGAGCGTGCAGGGGAGGGGGCGGGAGGGGGGTGGGGCAGCCTTAGCCACCCACGGCCTGGAGCCTGGGAGGACGAGGAGCGACGCCAGGCTACCCGCCTCGTCACAACTTGCCCAGACAAGACACGCTTTATCTTGCACCCTGGAAGAAGAAGGAGCCGGCCTGCCTCTCCCTGCTCGGTTGCTCCTCGCCCTCCGCGAGCCCCGCCTCTGCGCCAGCAGCAATCCCGGGATCCGAGGCCCCGGTGACGCCTCGTGGCTTGCAGCGCCCGGCTTTTCGCCCAGGAGCGCGCAGCTGGGGTGAGCCGAGGTCTGGGATGCTCCAGGCGCCCGCGGGCTTCTACAGCACAGAGAGCATCTCGCATCTCTGCGAGCTAAGTCGGGCCTTCTTCCCCCACTCTGCCTGCTGAGATCCGCAGCGCTGCAGATCCGCCGCGGCCCCCAACCATCTTTTGCTTTCCAGGATTCGGCTTCCCGAACCTTTGTCTTTTCGGGTTCAGCAGGCCTGCCGCACCAGGCGGTGTGCCCAGCACAGTAGTCGCCGCACAGGGTCGGGGAGCCAGCCTGGGATGGGGAGCAGGGCGAACAGGGAAGTATGCCCCCTGCCTTCCTGTTCCGGCCATCTTGTGGTCGAGATTCGACCTAGGGGGTGAGGATGGCTAACCACAGGTACCCTAAGCTCCCGTGGTGACCGCCAAGACTGTAGCCTGGCCGGCGCGCGTCCGCGTCCGTACTGGGTGTGCGGGGGGGGGGGAGCGCGCTAGCCCCCCCCCCCCGTTCAGCTGGCGGGTCTTTGGAACAGAACAAGGGTTCATCCCTTTAACCGGCCAAAGGCAAAGAAAATGGGAGGGATATGGGCCTGGAGGCATTATCTCCTAAGAGAAGCACCTAACTCACTCAGTCTTTTTTTTTTTTTTTTTTGGTGGTGGTTGTTTTTGTTTTTTTGCTTTTTTGTTTTTAAATCCTAGCACATTCCAAATGACCTTTCCTTTTTCTTGCTGCACTAGGTGCTGGCAATACAGCGGTGAGCAGCACACCTCTCCTGTTCCTGCTGATCCCGCCAGCCCAGTGGATGGAGCCCAGAATCCACAAACCTGCCAGGTTGGTATCCCAGAGCTTCAACAGATGGGGAAACTGAGGGCCAGGGTCAACAGATGTGTTCTGGGTCAGGCATCAAGTACGTGGAAGACTCAGTCTTGAAGCTGTTTATGTGCTTGGGGCTTTTATGCTAGGTTGCAGTAAAATCTGTTTTTCGTATAGCCCCAGAATCTTTTGAGTGCATGGCTTATATGAAGTGTGTGTTTTATTTCCTGGGCACTTTCCTATGGTTTTACTTACAGGGAAAGTACTCATAATAGTTGTTACATCTTAACTTCAAGTTAGTTACTGTGAATTGTATTTTTCCTTTCTTCTGTTCACGAATTTGGTTGTTAGGAAAGAAAAAACATTCCCTGCTGGTTGGTCCAAGCAGGGCCTCCCTGGTGGATTGAGGAATGCCTGGCTTTTCCTCAGCTCCTTGATCTCCGAGGTGTTAACCACTGGCAGCCTCCAGAGGACCCCCACAATGAGAAGCCTGGGGTCTGCAGGTCACTGCTAGATTTTTAAAGAATGCAGCACGGACACAAATTTGTAAGGTAAATACTGTACCTGGTAAACTGGGTAGAACGCTGACGGTTGAAGTTCCCATCCGTTTTTAACTTCAACATTTTGAGAAATGCTTTTGGAATGACAAACTAGTGCGTATCCTGGGCTAGTTACTTGGTTTGTGTTTTAACAAGATGTCAGAGTTAAGCTGCCAGTCCACAGAGGAAAAACAATCCCTTTAAAAAGTATGTTGAATTGTAAGACTAATTTGAGAAGTTTAACTCTGCTGGGTTGTAATACAAAAAACACACTCTTAATTTTAAACGTACAATTCCGCTAAAATTGGCAAACGTATACATCCATATATTTAACACCGCAGTCAACATGCAGTATGCCCTGCCCCAGATTTTCCTCCCGCTCTTACGCTCTCAATTAACTTTATAGCTCTGTTGCTACACATTTCCCAAATGTGTGGAAAAGTTAAAAACGAATGTATATGTCTCACCTCAAAACCTAACGCTAGCGTAGGGGTGGATAGCTAGAAGACCACAGCTGGAGTGAAGGTCCTGGAGACGTGACCCTCGCATGTTCCGGAGGCTTTCTGGACCATATCTTTTGAGACCAGGGAGGGTGGTGTCAGGGGAGGTGGCGGACAAGAGATGCCCGCTCCGGGTGGATGAGGAGTGTGGGTCTCCGGCTGCTCCAAGAGGTCTTCTCTCGTCCTTCTGGTCCCGCAGGTACCTGGGCGCATGCTGAACGCGCGTGGGCGGACACGCCCTGTGCTCCAGGTCGGGGCTGGGCGCTGCCATAGCAACGTCCTGGACGCCCAGATCTTAGGCCGCCGCCGCCGCAGCGGGGGTCTGGGCCTTCACCGGCTCACGAGGGGTGTGACGGCGGCGGCGGCCCCAAGGCGGCCCGGACCAGGTAGACTACACTGCCCCGCCCCTCCAGCGCAAGCCTAGGCGGCGGACTGGCTTGCAAGCATGGTAAGATGCACGAGGCCGGAGGTGCCTGTCCGGGATGCAGGGCGGGGACGCGGGGGTTCGCTGGGACTCTGGGCTCGGAGCTCTCCCGCCTCCCGCCGCGCTCTCTCTTCCTCCGCAGCCCTTCCAGAAGCACGTCTACTACCCTCTGGCCAACAGCCCCGAGGGGCCCGACGCCTCTGCCGCAGGCGCGGCCCCCATGGCCTTTGTCCCCCCCAGAGCGGCCTCGGGCCCCCTGCCCTTCTTCCAGTTCCGGCCGCGACTGGAGAGCGTGGACTGGAGGCGGCTGAGCGCCATCGACGTGGACAAGGTGGCCGGCGCTGTGGATGTCCTGACACTGCAGGAGAACATCATGAACATCACCTTCTGCAAGCTGGAGGACGAGAAGTGCCCACACTGCCAGTCAGGGGTAGACCCAGTGCTGCTGAAGCTGATCCGCCTGGCGCAGCTCACCATCGAATACCTAATGCATTCGCAGGAGTTCCTCACCTCACAGCTAAGCCTAGTGGAGGAGAGGCTGCGCCTGAGCCTGATCGACTACGAGCAGAGCAAGCAGCTGCTCAACAAACAGGCTAGCGAGATCAAGCTTCTGAAGGACGAGTGTAAACGCAGGAAGAAGATGCTGTCCACGCAGCAACTGATGATAGAGGCCAAAGCCAGCTATTACCAGGTGGGACACTGTGCCGGGCCAGTTCACTTTAGGGGAACTAGCCTTTTCATTCTTCCCAGAGATTGGTTCCTCAGAGAAAACACTCATTTTAATCAACAGAGCAAGTGTTTCATTGCCTTCTGCAGCCACCAAGGAATTGGTAATTACCTACTGTTGTCTGCAGGGCTTATGAAGTTACCCAAATGTTGGTTGTTGAACCTGTTTCCTCCTTATAACAGATGTTGTGAAAAAAATCAGTTGTGTACAAATTGCTATTGAGGTTGGCCCCCAGATGACCTGGAATATGATTCAATATGTGAAACATCCCCCCCCCCTTTAATTTGAAGTGTTTTCCAAATGACAGAGACCAGACGAACCAAGTAGAAGTAGAACCAAGAACCTTAATGAACCCATCACCCAGACCCTATGACCTACGTTTGCCACACTTCTGTATCTCCTTCACCCTTGTTTTGTTCCAAAATAGGAACCATCTCACAGTGAGTTACAGACTCCCGAAGATTTAATGTGTGTAGTTACCATTTAAAGAATGTAGTTAAATGTAGTTCGATGTAGTTAGCACTTAAAGAATTCAGCACCTTTTGGACTTAATCATAATCTGTCTGTTCGAATTAGACATTGAATCCAGGATAAATATTGCAATGTTGAAATCAATGTACAGGTTGAGCATCTCTGCTTTGAAATGCTTAGGACCAGATATGTTTTGGAGTTTGGAATATTTGCATTCATCTCACGAGGTGTCTTGGGGTTGGTACTCAAATCTAAATATTTATTTGTTTATGTGTTTGTGCCTGTGTCTGAGCCTGCATGGTCACGTGCAGGTCCCCAGGAGGCCAGAGAGTGTCAGGTCTCTTGGAACTGGAGTTACAGGTAGTTTGTGAGCCACCTGATATGGATGCTGAGACTCTAACCTGGGTCCTCAGCAAGAACAGTAAAGGCCCTCCAGCCTATGGGATGCAAATCTAAATTTAAATTTAATTGATATTTCAAATACCACTTAGAGTGATGGCCTGGAGTTGGTTTTATGTATTTTTGGTTTGCCTATGTTTTGACTGAGACCCATCACATGGGCATGGAATTTTATACTTTGGGAGAGATGTCTAGGCTTCAGAGCATTTGAGGTTTGGGCTTTTCAGATTAGGCTAAAAAAGAATAGTAAACAACAGGTTGACAGAATTAATTTACTTCTCACACATTTGGGATACTCCTTAAGTGGCTTCAGGTGGTCTTCAGACTAGGGGACCTGAGCAGACTTCAGTGTGGCAGACATGGTCTAAGGCAGAGAAGTGATGCAATTCATAGTGTGTAAAACACATCTCACAGAAATTGAAAGAAGTGTATTTTAGCTTGCAGAGCAGTTGGGAAAGAATGCTGTGAGGAGACCAGGGAGTGAGTGGCCTTGGGTAAACAAACCACCTGGAGGCACTCTCTTCAAATGACACTTGATGTCCTCAGAGACCTGTTTTACAAATGCTGTTCAAAAGTTACATACCTAGAAATAATGGTATGATTACTTTTTTTTGTACAATGAATGGAATCAGTTCTTCTTAAACATTTAAAGTAAGTGTATCGTTCTCTAGTTTGGGTAGTAATCTAGTGAAATATTAGTACATCTAGCAAAAAGTTATATCTTTCATTCTCTCAATCACCTTAGAAATAATTGTTAGTGAAGATTTTCAAACATGAATCATGAGTGGGGGGTGTAGCTGAAAGCAAACAAATGAAATATGAATGCTGTGTGCATAGATAAAGCGAAGGACTTTATTAAACCAAAGACACCTTTCCTCTGTTAGCACCTGGCCGACTCTGAATGCCAGTGTTGGCTGTGTTGGGTCTTCACGTGGGACAGTAAGGCAGAAGTGACTACATCATCTTTTCCTCCTTAGGTGTGCAGGTGCTCTGTCCTCCTAAGCACACCGTGGCTTATGAAGACTTCAGGATGACAGTGTCACAGTTAGACCGCACGGGTTTGAATGAAATTACAAGTCATTTCATCTCTAACGTGGATTTCCTCCCGGGAGAGCGGGACATGAGTAGCAGCTGCCTGTTAGAGGGAAGTGTGCCATGAGATACAGCAGGCAGGGTGTGAGGGCTCGGTGGACACGCAGACGACTCTCTGGTGATGAGTTATGCTTCCTCTTATCTGTTTGTAAATCCTTAGACCATGTTAGGAGCTCAGTGACGGTGGAGGTAAAGAAGGCTGGGGTTCAGCGGGGAAAGCCCCAGGGCGAGTCAGGTGCCCAAAGACGACAGCGTGAATGGAGAGTGAGTAGCAAAATTGTTGGAACTAGGTTATATTTGGTCAGTAAAACAATTTAGGGGAAGAGACTTGATTTTGTTTAGTCATTTGACTTTAGGATACAGTTGGGCATTTTAATCATTAGTTAAAATTAATTAATCTATTGCCAGAAAAGTAATCCAACCTAGGGCTTTGTCCTGTGTGTAGGGAGCCCTCTACTGGAGCTTGGGCAAACTACACCACAGAAGGAAACTGACCATCACTTTGCCAATAAGCTACTCAGTCAGCTAGTGTTCAGGTTCCTTCTCCAAGCTGCAATGCTGACTGGCTTGATCTTGCACTGGTCTTGTGCTGGCAGCCATGGCTGCTGTGAGTTCATGAGTGGCTTCATCATGTCTGGGAGACATTGTTTCTAAGGAATCTTCCTCAGATCTGGCTTTTACAATCTTTCCGCCATCTCTTCCATGATGTCTCCTGAGCTGGGGTTACCCCATATCTTTCATGCCACGATTGCACTAATTGGCTCATCGTGTCAGAGTGATTATCATTATGACTTACAGCTGGGTGACACTGTTGATGACTTTCCTCCCTCAGCATCCTTCATAGCACCTTTCGGCACTGTGAAAGCCAGCCAGTGGGGAAGAAACTTCCAGATTAGTGCCAGCTTGGTTTACTCATGTCCTATAATCAAATTGTGGGTCTTTCAGTCATGTTCTAGTAGGTAACCAAGAGCACTGGTAACATACTGTATTGTTTTGTGGGTTTCTGGGATCCCTACACACACACACACACACACACACACACACACACAACTCTATAGGGTATTCTCACACCTGTCATGCGGGTTTTCACTTGATAACCCAAGGCTTCTGGGAAGGAGCCTTATCCTTCTGTGCAGGATAACTAGATAAACATCAGCTGTAGAATGGCCAATAAGACATACACATATACATGCACATACACAGTAGAATTTTATGTATCTGTAAAGGAAAATGAAATTATGAACTTGGTAGGCAAACTGATCAGTGTAATTTTACTAATTACAATTATAGTATTTTATTTTTTGTAATTTTAGTAATCCAGGCACAGAAAAGCACACATTCTTGCTCATATGTGGATCATAACTTGAATCTTTAGATGTGTGTGTTTGTCGAGGAGTACCTGTAGAAGTCAGGAAACTAGAAAGAGAGACCGTTAGGGGAGGGGAGGAACGTGAGGAGCGTGGTGTAGCGAATACAGATGGTGTGATGGGCGTGGCAAAGGGAGGAAGGGGTTAAGTGGGGAGGGGCATGGGAGGGTAGAACAGAATTCTCGGAAGATAACGCCAAGGATGTTTGAAAAAGTCACATGGAAACCTACTATTTTATAAGTTTCCTAGTATGTGTACACACACACACACACACACACACATACACACACACGTTCTTAAAAAACATGTTTTGGTTTTATGTGTGTGGGCCCTTTGCCTGCATGTATGTCCATGAACTACATACATACAGTACCTGTGCAGGCCCGAAGAGGTAGTCACATCTCCTGGAATTGGAGTTACAGACAGTTGTGAGCTGCCATGTGGGTGCTGGGCATCAAACTTGAGTCCTTTGTAAGAGCAGCCAGTGCTTTTAACCGCTGAGCCACCTTTCCAGCATACATGTGCGCGCGCGCGCGCGCGCGCGCGCACACACACACACACACACACACACACACACACACTTAGATTTTTTTTTTTTTTTTAATTTAGACATGTCTTTTCCTGGCCAAGCACTCCTCAAGGCCTTCCTTGACCCGCCAGGATTGTGATGTTTTGGAGGTTCTGATTCCAGAGGTATGGAATGAGCAACTCCCTTGTTAGGGAATAGCCACACCTTTCTGATGCTGGTGGTTTGGGGGAGGAGTCAACAGAATCAGTATTCTGCTGGAAAATGTGAGTTAAATGAGTCTGTCTATCCTCAGGCTTCAAAAGGAGTCTTAGCTCCAGATGGACAGAAGTTCTCTCTGTCTCTCCCCCCTTCCCTTCCCGCTCTCTCTTTCTCTCACATTCTACCATACCTTCAGTCTAAGATAAATTTGTTGAGGACCTGTTTGCATTTTCAGATTATAAGAAATTCCATGACTTAGAAGGGTGCTGTCAGGACTAAAAAAGACAGGAGTGTGTGAATCCTTTCCCTCCTGATGGATATATTCCATTCCATGGCCTTTTTCTCCTGGCTTGACTGGCAGACTGATAGAAATTGAAAAATGTGGGACTGCATCCTAGCCCTGCTGCAGAATCGGGTCACATGCTTCTGCTTCCACAGGGAACAGTAATCAGGAAGCTCTCGAGGGACCCTGGGGGCTCAAATCCCAGACGGACTTTTCTCTGGGCTACCAGCTCACAAAAAATGACATGGAAACATTGTTATTAAGAAAGCTCGCCTATAGCTTAGGCTTATCCCACTAGCTCTTATAACTTAAATTAACCCACATCTTTTAATGTAAATCCTTTTATGTGGTTTAGTAACCTTTACTCTGTATTATCCATCCTGGTTCCTCTCCGTCTGGCTGGTGACTCCACCTTCTTCTTCCCAGAGCTCTCTCTGTCCAGAAGTCCTGCCTGTACCTCCTGCCTTGCTATTGGCTGTATGGCTTCTTAATAAACCAACCACCCTCACACTGTGTAAAGGAATATCCCACAACACATCTCTACTACTGTCTCAACTGCTAGACCTTAGCAAATGGCTGAACTCTTGTGTACATTAGTGTCTGCTCTGTGAAATGGGAAGGTCATCATCCCTACATCATAGTCATTGTTAATGAGGTTTGTGTGGCCAGACTTAACATGTAGTTAGTTGTTGTTTTAGCCAAAACCCGAGAGTGAGGTGGGGAAGCCTTGTGGCAGACAAAACAAACACCAGAGTTGATTTAATACAAGATGAGAAAAGTCACGTGACTGCCAGATTTTAATTTCCCTTCCCCTCTGCAGACAAAGTCCAGAGGCCCTGGACTCTTTGCAAAATGATTGGGCAGACCATGTGAGCAAGTTCATCTTCAGAAATCCTCATCTCATTCCTATATCACTTCTCTATCTCCATTTCCCTTTGTTTCAAGAAATCACAGTAGCCATGTAGTAAAAATTAAATATCTGAGGATGTCCATTCTTGAAGTCTTTTTCCCATTGAGAGTGTGGGTGTGACATGTGTTGTATGCAGCCAAAATCTACCAAAGGGTTACAGTGGCAAGATGTGCTGTCTTCTTTCTCAATGTGTTTTATGTAAAATTTATAGTATACAGGAAAATCCAAAGGACCATGTGCTGAATATCTGTATTTGGAAGATTTTAACAGAAAAATCAGTAAGAAGAGCAGTGGACTGACTGGTAACGAGCATAGAAAGACACATTGAACAGTGTAACTGACAACGTAGTGTGTGCCAGGGTTTTGCTGTATTTCCATCCTCTAGTTTGGGGAAACTTTAAGATTTTAAAAAAGGTATCTTTTCCATTGTTTTATATAAAATTTTACTAACTTTGAGAATTTCATAGCATTTTTTATCATATTCACCTCTCCCAGCTCCTACCAGTTCTACCACCACCCTACTTCATGTTCTCTGTAAAATGACAAAAACCATGGAGTCCAGTTTGTGCTATCCACATATTCTCGGGTGTGGGGCCATCCCTGGAATATGGCCAACTCTCAGAGGTCATACCCTTATTTTCTTTTAATAGAATTTTCTCTCCATCCATTTCCAGAGGAAATCCTTGTGTCCTTGTATTCTCCTGTGTGTTCGTTGTATACCGTACACCTTTGAAAGTTTTCATGGGTGTGTATAGTCATAAGAGAATGTTTTTAGCTTTAAAACACTTCACACCCAAGCACATGCACATATGCGTGTGTATCTATATTAGCTACTAGGTCTGCCATAACAAATGCCATCAGTTAGATGGCTTAAGTAACGGAAATTTATTTTCACACTAGTGGGAAGCTGGAAATCCTACGTTGAGGTTTCAGCAGGGCTGGTTCTGCTACCGTCTCTTCTCCTGCCATGAACAAATTGGTGGTATTAAGATGTAAACTGATATATAGAAACATCACTGGGACTTCCAGAAGTTACCAGAAGGGATGCTCCAGCTGTCAAAGTTTCATTGACTTGTTTCCAGAAGGGCATTTCCACCTTACGTTTGCCCTTTGAGCTACTATCGCTAGCCGACATCTGCATCTTTTAGGAAGATGCTTCAGATCCCCGGTTTGTACTTCAAGTAGATGGGAAACTCACTGTAGACCCTTGAATCTGTCGCTTTCTTTTCAGTGCCATTTCTGTGACAAGGCCTTTATGAACCAAGCTTTCCTGCAAAGCCACATTCAACGCCGCCACACTTCAGAGCCTCACCTTGGTAAGGCATGAACTCTGTATCGGAGTTATTTCCTTCTTGCTCCCTTTTTCCTTTCTCAATGAGATGTGGTCCGGTGCATTTCTCAATCCTCTTGAAGGAAGTCTTATGGGCTGTGCTTATCCAGTGAGTAGATGTTGAACCCTTCTGTGTGTATTCACAGTACCCTGACTGCCGAGCACACAGCCCTGAGCAGGCTGGAGAAGTCCCACTTCAAGTCTTGCTTGACTTACGAGACGCTTAAACCAATGCAATAGTTTCCAAGTGCCAAATGCAAAGAAAATGTCAAAGGCTGTGAAGGACAAAGACAGGGAGAATCATCCCAGGTGATATTTGAAGGCCTCTCTGAGGAGGCTGTGTCTGGATTATCCAGAGAGCAGAGTAATGAAGAAGTGATAGTCTGGTGAGAATCAGGGACTAGAGCATCCCAGGTACAAGGACTGCTGATAGTGAGGGCCAGGAGGAGAGGACAGGAAGGAGACTGGAGGAGTGGTGTGTGGGAAGGCCGGAGGGTTGGGGGACTGATCTCAGGAGGTGATGGAGGCCCTGGCCTATGGGTGAGTACAATGGGGAGCCGCAGGATGACATTTTCGTAGAGAATGATGAGGTAATTTGTACCTTAAAGAGAACATTCTAGCTACAGATGATAGTCTGCAAGGGCCAGAGTGGAAGCTGATAGAAGAATGAGGAGGTGCCTAGAAGTCCCAGTGAGTAAAGGAAGCCTAGACTGGGGCAGTTCCAGGGCAGAGGGAGATACAAAGAGCATGTGTTGGACACAGAGACTACAGAGCTATGACTTAGGGTGAAAGCGAGAGATAAAACAAAGACCTACTCTTGTTTAGGTGAATAGTTTTTGTGATAGAGGGTTAGGGGCGGGAAGAATTTAAAGGAAGGTGGAGACAGGAGAGTTTGTGTTAGCCATGCATACATTTACATCACACATACAAGAGACATGCAACTCACAGCTGATGTTTGCAGATGGAGGCCCAGGGGAGAGGGATCTGGAAGACAGTGGCCTGGGTGAGCCATCTGGTTAGAGGTCAGAAGACCCAAGGCCAATACTAGGCCTCCTAACATTGTTCCTCAAGAAGGGCAGGTAGGAAGTACCATGGGGTGACCTAGGGAGTGTGCTGTCGTGTTCAGCAAGGAGAAAAGTGTTCCTAGAAGGTGGCAGTGGTCAGATCTATCAAATGTTCCAGAAGCAGAGTGGGGTGCAGATGGGGAATTTACCGTTGCCACATAGTCGTTGGCCTTGACGCAGCAGCTTCAAAGAACTCCTAAGATGACAGGTCAGTCTGAGTAGCTGAGTTGGGAGTTAGTGAGGAAATGCCCTTAACAAACGGGTATACACGTTACCAGTGTGTGCTGGGAAGGACGGCAAGGGACCCAAGACATCGCCTCGATTGAAGCGTGGAGATGAGAGAAGATGATCGTATACAGGAATTAGTGTGTGTGGGTGCTGATGGGAAGTAACCGGAAAGTACAGGGAGAAATAAAGACAGCTGTGGGCGAAGGGGTCTGTGGTTTATCAAGGAGTCAGTCTTCCCACTGTTGGAGTGTTCTCAAGGAACGCAAGGTCTCCTCCTCCTGCGGGCAGCCTCGTGCCGTTGTAACCTGCGGAAGTGTTTTCGAGAGAAGGGCTGCTTTCCTCCCTCTGGGGCCAGTCTGTTTCTCCTCGGCCCATTGTGCTTTGTAGTAGAAGCAAAACAGGCAGCAGAAGTTTTCATTCTAAACCACAGACTGCGGAGACAAGCAAGCGGTCTGAGGGAAACAGGGCAATGTTGAAGTGTTTGGAACTGACCTCCATTCTTCAGTGTGACACTGACCTCTGTCTCTCTGTTTCAGTTTCCCATTCTATCTCATACTCGTGTCAGAGAACACGTCAGACTCTGAAATGAGTATCACTTCTTCAGGTCATCTCTGAGGTTCTGACTCTCTGCTTTGGTTCCCACCCCTTTCATGTCTACACTCACAGCACATGTATGCCCATTCAGTCATGTGTACATCCTCATGTAAGTACATGGACATACTAAGTACCCCTCCCTCCACTTGTTGCCTCCTCTGACACCTTTTCAGTTCTTCGCTTTGGCCCCAGTTGGCAGACGACCGCCCGAGTCTGCGTCTTGAGTCCCCTGCCCTCTGTGCGATCCATGACAGGGACTTGAGGAAAGTTGGGTGGGAGACCAGACAACGCGTATGATGTCAGTGTTGTGGTACTTGTAGGTGGAGCCTCTGCTTCTCTGTTTTTGAGTGAGATGGACATCTCTGAAGGAGTCCAGAGCACCCGTGGTCATAACAACCAGGATTGTTCCCCGAACAGGGCTCTCACACTGTCCCTGTTGAATAATCAACCTTAGTTAGTACAGTGAGTGGCTGAAAGAGGTCACTAAAATTAATGAAATGTCTGGTCACATGAAGGGCTCCAGATAAACATGGGATTGGGCTCATAGCATAAAATAAGTAATAATGTCCCGAGTGAGAGCATTTCTGTTATCTTATCCATAGAACTATGCCCTGTAAGGTTTTTTTAGGCAAGTTCATGAGAAACTAGATTTTCTAGATTCTGACTAGGTTTTCTGTCGCAACAGAGTATAATACAAAGGCCCAGACCGACAGACTCCAGAAGGAGATCGACATGTTGAAGGAACAGCTGCAACTCACCAGATCTCAGCTAGAGTCTGCCCAGCATGCCCACGCAGTCCGGTTCTCTAAGGTAGGGCACAGAGTTCTGTACTGGAGAGGATGAAATTACTGGTACTTTAAAAGATGCAGGGAAATAGGGATGCTGGCTTTGGGGTATGTGTGTGATACGAGTTAGGATGAAGCTACAGTTTGTTTTGAAATTTGCCTGTTTTATCCCGGAGCCTTTAATGACACACATTAAAATAATTCCAGGAATATGAAATGCAGAAAATGAAGGAAGACGACTTTCTGAAGTTATTTGATAGATGGAAGGAAGAAGAAAAGGAGAAGTTACTGGATGAAATGGAAAAGGTTAAGGAGATGTTCATGAAGGAGTTTAAAGACTTAACTTCTAAGAACTCAGCATTAGAATATGTGAGTATCTATCTTAGAAGTTCTCATGGTATTATTGCTTTGAGATACAGTGTTAGCATGACCCCATGACCCAAGGTTCAGCCATGTCACCATGCCCAGTACACACGGCCTCTCCTACCAGGAAGACTGCGGCACATAGGAGGCAGAGCAGACAAGAGAAATGGTTTTGTTATGAGTGGGCGGTCTGTACAGACTCTAGTACAGAATGCCTGTTGGATGCGTTCGCTCAGCTCCCAGAAGAAATGTGCCCTTCCTTATTTGGTTAAACTACAAACCCTTCCCCAGATTCTAGAATGCTCCAAGTAGTGGATGGAAAGGCTGACACAGATTACCAAGGTGGGAGGAGGAGGAAGAGGAGGAGGAGGAGGAGGAGGAGGAGGAGGAGAGGGGTGGGGGAGAGAGAAGAGCCCTTGCCTTGCCCCCACCTCACCCCACGTCTGTCGTATGAAGAGGATTGGGTCTCTGAAGTAAGCAGGATATGGCGAGCAGGCTCTGTGCTGTGTGGGAACAGCTGTGGTGCGTAGATGTGTGTCACAGAAGATTCACTTACTGGGGCTGGACCCTTCAGTGCCTGACAACCTAGTTCCTTTTGATCTGAAAACTGGAGAAAAGGAAGAGAGACCCGAGGGCGATCCTCGGGCTCCCTCTAGAGGACGACAAGTTTTGGGAACAAAACTAAAGGCTTCTGTGGAAGGGACACCCACCCAATCCTGTCATTTCCTTTCCTGCTCAGGTTCTCGTCCAACACCGTGTTGGAGTTAGTCACCTTGCTCCTTAGGCTTCCTTTGGTCTGTTTTAGTGTTTCCATCTTGTTATTGATGAACCTGGCGATTTAAGGAAGTTTGGGTTGTTTGTATTAGACGCCTTGCCAGGAGTTTATCATGATTAGTCAGAGTTTATGCGGGGACCATCTTGGATGTGATGTGTCACCTCGTCACACCATACCTAGTGCACACGTGATCTTCATGCTCTATGGCTTTTCACTTCTGCCTTACCAGTAGTGTTGGTGGGAACACACTTCTTAACTGAAAAGCCGCTTTGCACACGAGTGGTCACTGTGAGCACACAGTGAGTAGGCTCCCGCCCTTCTGTCGTTGATGTTAACTTGATGTTAACTTGTTGCTGTATGGGATTGTTATCTGTTTGCTTGTTTGTTTATTTATTGCCATAGTTAACGTTGAGGAACTTAAAACATTTATGCCCCTACTGGATTTACTGATCTGGCCCCCGATGGTGTTGGCTTTCCATTATAGTGTCTTAACGTCTTAGGACTAGCTTTCACATGGCATGGTGATATGCCCTTGTAATTCAGCACTCAGGAGGCTGAGACAGGATAAACAAGAGTTCAAGGCCAGCTTGGGCAGCATAGCAAGACCTGCCTCAAAATAAAAACAAAAATACAAACAGAAAGAGACAGACATACCCAGTTCCTCTCACAAATGTTATGTGCCTGTTAAAAATGTAAAAACACATTGTCAAAGGCCAGAAAGTTGATTTGGGGCCAGAGAGGTCGTTCAGAGAGTAAAGTACTTGTGTGTAAGCCTGGTGTCCCGAGTTCAGTCCCCCAAACCCACATGAAGGTAGGAAGAGAGAACAGACTAACAATTGTCCTCTGGCGACCACACATACACTGTGCCATGCCCTACCCCCGTCATAAATCACTTTTTAAAAGTTAGTTTTCCTTCCCATTTCTTTTTTTTTTCTTTTAATATTTATTTATTTATTATGTATACAGTGTTCTGTGTGCATATACACCTGCAGGCCAGAAGAGGGCACCAGATCTCATTATGGATGGTTGTGAGCCACCATGTGGTTGCTGGGAATTGAACTCATGAC